ACATAAATCTCGAAACTGAGAATTAATTATAAATATTGATATGAAAAATCATATTCACGGAAACTTTCCATAACGTCCCATACAACCAAAACAGACTTATTCCTGTGATAACAACTGTCACAGTACCACGTAATTTTTTCAAATCAATACTATTGTATTTACTTGAGAAGCTCTTATAAAAAAAACTCTATAATTTTCCACGATAATATTATTACAATAGTTGTTTACGAAATACCACGTGGGCTGTTGTTCTAATTATAAATTTCGTAAGCTTGAACAAGTAATTAACGACATAAGAATTTTCCAAACACATACTTCTTTTTTGAATATACTAAAGTGACAAAAACAAACTAATTTAGATGACAACTTTGCTACTAATAAGTCTCGATTGTGGCCCTTCAAAAAGGAAATATAAACGTTACTCAAAATAATTATATTATACAAAAAGGGAAGCTAGAAATATTTCTAGCTCTACACTAACTATTACGATGAAATAATCTTTTTATTACCTGTAATAATTTAAGATGACATACGGTAGCGAAAATATAAAATTACCTATAGCTCAATAAAGAAATATTTTATATGAGTTGCAAATCTTAGAAATATTAATATAATAGCATGTAGTACACAAATTGTAGGAAACGCTACTGTAATATTTAATGATTTATATTAATAAGTAAACAACATTGTTTTTGTCAAACTTACATAAACACGCATAAAGACTGGCTTAACAAATAATTTTAAATAATAGAAAACTTTAAATTACGTAATATACCTAGGTATCAGCATTATAAATAAATTTATATAATGGATTAATTAATATTTTAATTATGGCTAAAACAACGTTTATAAACGTTAGTGCAATATATAATATTCGTAAGTTATAAACTTATAATAATATTAACATGATAATTGATGGTGTATCATCGTTTCGATCATAAGTATGCAAAAAATATTAAACAGAAAATATAGAACTAAATAAAAGTAGAACTTAAAGTACTCGTATAATAGTTCTTAAAAATGTAGTGTTTGTTGTTGTATATCCAGAGGTTCAAAGGATATCTGTAACTTTTATTGTTACTGTTTCATCTTAAATAATTTTTCTTTTTTTGTCCTTTTCTCTAAGTCTGGCTATTTTATAACAGGTAAGAATTTGGATGCTGCTGTAGTGATGTCATTGTTGTAACCCAAAAATATATTTTTAATAAAAGAACCTACGTATATTGGATCACAAGCCAACTTATGAAATTTTCCAACGCGTGTTTTAATCACATTAACTTAAAAACATATATGTATGTACATATAAGAATATAATAACGGCTCCAGATTAAGTATAATTTGTAAAATTTAAGAAAGAATTCTGCCTACTATTGTTGTACTGATTCCAAAGTTTTGAATGGATTTCCTTTAGATGAAATGGCAGTGGTCCTAGGGCGACTTTGGAGCGTTACATTTTATAGTGTAGTGTAGTGTAGTAGTGTTAAATTTAATCCCTTATATCCTTGATGCTAAAAAGGTAATTAATTTTATTATTCTGATGAAAAACACATTTTATATATTAAAAAGAATTAACATTCTCTTATAATACTTTTCAGATTTTTAATGTAATGTAGCCAAAAGTATCCGACCCATATTGTAGCTGTAGGCCTCTTTCAACTTTGGAAAGTAAAACCTGGTAATTTATCCATTTCAAGGTTACTAATGTTTAGGACGATGTTTGGAGAGGACGATCTGAGTGAGACCTAGAAAATAAGTGAATCGTTTATGAATTATCTTTTTTATGTGGTTAAAAGAAGATATAGTTGTCAGACAATTAATTAATCTAGTTCGAAAGCCAGAAATAATTAATCAGGGCTGTGCTGCTTTCTCCTCTATTACACTATTTAGTTACGGCATTGGCCGTTTTTTGAAGACGTTCTTCGATATGTTCCAGGAACACGAAGAAGGTTAAATGTTCCCGGAAACCGAATGTCACTCGTAAATAAAGGGAAAAAGAGTGGAATTGGAAGAGACTCTAGCCCTTAGCCAGACATCTAGAGCGACGAGTGAGGTGAGATGTCAGAACCTTTAACATAGCAGAAAGACAAACTAATCATTATATCTCACTGACAATTTGGTTGCGAAAAGCGGCTTTGATAAAAACGTTTTCACTCTTTAGCAGTTACTTAATTTCGGAAGGAAGTTCATGGCCTTCCGTACTTGACACTTTTGTCTCTCTTCCCGACGTATCTATTTTCCAAGTTATAAAATTTCTGATGTAAAAAATTGCTGTCTTCTTGCTAAGCATTCACCAAGTGTAATTCGACAGAATTTTAGTATCACATCGGTTTCAGGGGAGAAGTGTTTTGACTTTGAAATTATTCAATGATATCCGCGCCAAAAAAGTAAATTATATTTTTAACTATGCGCTTACATATGGAGTTGTTGAATATTATGTGTGATATTTCAAGTATGTGAATATTCATAAAAAAATGCGATATTTTATTGCCTTATAATTATAGTTACTGATTATTATTAAAGTATTTCCAATATGTATAAGTTTATATTTTTTGTATATATGAAACTTTTTTTAAATTTAATAGTTACTTTTTATTTTTGGAAAAGTAGTAAGTACGCTTAGCTTAAGACTCACTCAAGAATGGGGCATATTTTATGAAATTGTTAGATTAATAAATAAATATCAATTTTAAAATGTCACATAACTTTAGAACACGAAAGGAATAAATAAGATTATACGATAACATTAATTTTATTTACTGTTTTTTTCCCGATCAAGTATACTTTATAATTTACAACTAAAATAATACAAAAGACTTGTATTTCATTCGAGTAAGATGATATATTAAAACACTTAGAAAGAATAAAAATTAATAAGAAAATTAGAGCTCCTTTACTACAACTATTATTGTATCCTTCAACTCGGTCGCAAAAGGCGACACTAAAATAGAGCCAGAAGTTCAAAAGTCTAGCCAAGATTAATCCGAGATTATAATCATTATGAATAATATTGATCATAATATACGTAATGATTGAATAATGCTCCTGACCTTAGTTTTATTTCTAATCTGGTACATTAATAATTACTTCTCAAATAATATCAATTATGTTTTATTAAAAACAATTCTCTTAGTCTTGCCATCTATGATCTATTGTTGACTTTTTAAACATAATCTGAATTACTATTTTTCTATTACGTTTTATTTAAAATCTAAGGAAATTAGTTATTGTTTTATCAATAAATGTATAAACTAGTTGTTATTTTAGTGCAAAATAGTAAAAGCAATGGAAATAGGACTGGTTTGTGAAGCGGCCACCGCGCCGGCGACGCGCGGTTGCGATAACTCTAAACTAGCCTAACCACCGTGTAACAGAACGGGTCACGCCACCAGCGGAGAAGTTTAGGAAATATATTGAATTGATTTTCTTTCTATTGTTTTTACCTTTCCATTAGAATTATTAGTTTTTTATGTATATCAGGTGCTGCATATGCTTTGATTATAACAGCTTTATTAATTTGATTTAGGAATACCAGAAGATCTTTCAGCAATCCTACCTTCATTCACAATAAAAGTTTTAGGAGAAACTGTCAATCACTTATATTTCTGTGTCTACTAAACTTTTTTTAATATGAATGTCATTCATTAACAGTGTTGTAATACAGCTACTTCATTGATAGTTTGAAATTCAAAATAGGTTAGACTTTATAAGTCATATACAAAAGATATATTAAACTTAAATTATGGAAAGCTGTACTTAAACGAAATTACTCAACAATAAATTTTCGTGTAAAACCAATTGATAAAAAAAGTTTTATACTCCATTAGTAAGTAAATTACAAAAAAAACTGTTATTTCATAAAAATATTTTTACATTATTATTTTACTTTTTAGTAACAATACATAAAGCTTTGTAAATACAGATCAGTTTGTTTTTATTTTCAGCATTAATTTCTTAACATCGCTAAATTCTTAGATTAGATATTGGTGTATTGTGTCGTGGAGTTACATCGCCTACAATATGAAGTTATATAATTCCGTGTGTTTTGTAGCTCAACAGCTGGTAGAAAGGGAGATAAATTGTGTTAATGAGGTTTATGCGAGCCCTTCTCATTACGTCATGTTTGTTTTAGTAGATTATATTACAATATCAGTCAGATTATAATTTCACATCTCCGTCACTCGATTCCGGAAACGATTTTGTGGAGCAACAATTAAATGAAATAATAAATATTATTTGTGATTTTGGGCAAAGAAATTATTGATTACTTTTATATGGATTCATAGAAAAACTTTGATAATTATTGAAATCTGTATACGCATCTCTATACGTATCTCTCGAAGCAAATGTTATAGTTTTCCAAATTATCGTATTCTTCAGATTTACTCAAGTTATGACTGAAATTCAGGATAACATTACTAAAGACTTTTAAATTGGTAACCACTGCTATAGTGAACTTGTTAAGACTATATTTATCTAAATATAAGAACGTTTTGAGGTCTTTGAACTCCTCATCTAAATAGATACCTAATGTCGTATTTTCTTAACCATATCTGTTAATATCAGAATATGTTAAACTTAAAAATTTTAGTATTTAGTTTCAGCATAATTTTTTTATAATATTCCGAATGACAAAGTTATATGTGAAAGAAAGAACATCAGCAACAATATCTCCGAAGAACTTTTTCACGAAACTTAACTACAATATATTTTAAGGACCCATAAATCTGGATTACGTTACTCTGATTATAATAAAAAAGTCTGATTCTTAATTATTGATTTTAGCAATTATCGGTAACTAGTGCTGTTCGCTTAGTCATATACATTTATATAAGTTTTTAAAACCCATTATTAGAAGTATGTAATTTTTTTATGTGGGAGAGGAAATTGTGATAGTTAGAAGTTAATTTTCCTATTCGGTGTCTACTTCCACAAGCAACCACACCACGAAAAAGTAAGAAGTCACTCAGTTATGCAAACTCCGGCAGTGTGCATTCAGTGCGATGTCGGTGCGCTCGTTCTACCTCGTGCTTGCGTGCGCCGCTTGCGCCTACTGTAACGACCAAAACACAGAAGATATAATACAAAATACAGATATAAAACCGGAGAGTCTGTACGCAACAAATAGCACGATACATACTAATGATGACGATAATACTCTAGCCACAGAAAAAGATGTTGATGGGACGAATGGAGATGTTATATACCATCTCAGTGGTAGGTTTTGTTTATTTTATCATAACATTCAAGTGTGGAAATCAATCAATTACATATATATTAAAATGTATTTTTTTCATTTCTTACCTGTTTTAGACTAAAATATTGATTTTATTCACATGTTTATATCAACAATATAATTTTTTAAATGTTTCAAACACAACAACACTATCTTAATTAATTTTGAAATAAAACTCTTTAATTTTATTGAAAGTAACTACTGTTTTAGGAAAATGAATAGAATATTTTTATATAAGGCATCACTTTTTATTCGTTATATTAAAAAAGAAATAGTGTATACATCTGTAGTGAAGTACTTGTATTTAAAGCGTTTAGTTATACATAGTTAATAAGTAATTACTTAAGCTACTTTTTACTTTTGATTAGAATAAAATTATTCAAAAATTTATGTTTGCATTTCACAAACTCCATAACTATATTTTGCCCTCGTGATCTATATATACAAGTATTTGACTTTAATAGGGAATTAAAAGGGAATACAATTTATTTATTCAAGAAAAATATACTTATATGATGAAGCTATTTTATATTAACATCTATTTTACCTAAAACATTATTGTCTTCGAAAACCATTTAATATATAGTTGAAGATTATCATACATGTAATATTAGCGTAAGTTAACTTCTAAGGGAAATAAAATTTGTTACGTAAAAGTTAATTGCCACTTAAATATCTAATAAATGATAGATATATAAAATAAACATAGTTTCTGGATTTTACCTACAATTTCTACTGATGTGAATTTAATGCACTAAATATAGGGGAAAATATACTTGCTTATTGTTATTCAGATGAAGAATACTACGCCATGCCGCGTCTGTTTGACCTTGACGAGTTCCCAGGATGTCTGGCAACACGAGGAGCTTACTGTCTTGGCAGCTTTGAGCTCACCGCCACCACTGACCATCCTCTATTTCGGACCATGAAGGTAAAAAAAATCAAGAACTAATGACCTATAGAACTTTTAAATGAACCTAGGGTTTAGGGACACAATGACTATAACATGTTAAAGCAATCTATTGCAGCTGAAACATTGTACATTGCATATTATTTATGCATCAAATTTTTTATCATAGTTGATCGCAATGCTGGACGTCGTAATAAATTTAATCTCCCTCGGTAACGCTGTCAAAGCCTCAGGACTAGCAGCGATAAACAAAATTCTAAATATCGCGGAAAAGTGTGAGACTTAATGTATCTAAGATTTATTTCAATATTAAACAGTCACTTTTACAGCGAATCTAAGAGAATTTGATATATTTTGTGATTGCGATTTCCCTTTCCGCATTACTGTATTGTAGTTTCATTTTTTTTTATGACAGATTGTACCTCATTGATACGCAAAAATGCAAATAATTTATAATGCTTATTATAACTAGAAACCTATTCTTGTTTGTTATTGTCAGAATCTATATATAAAGTGTGATCAAGCTAAAAACGAAAATATGTTAATAGATAGAAAATAATTTCATCAGCGAAGTTCCGCTCCGATTGTAAGGGTCGCGATGTATGCGTTGGAATGCATTATTATCGATTGTTGCGATTGCGAAGAATTATTTCATTTAGGAACTTATGTTAACATTATAATGTAATATGCCTTTAAAAGGTTGCACTTATCAAGAATCACTAGAAAAGAATACTTTTACAGCAATATTCAGCTAACTGGGTGGACAACTTTAACCATACTCGCCTTCATCGAGGTGTATGTCTGCCACGATCATGTCAACAATATCAGAGTTCTTCCTTGGAGATGTGGTAAGTATTTTTCATGTAAAGGAGTAATAAATAGTCCAACATTTGTTAGAATACAGCTTGCTATCTTTATTTCATTGGCTCCAGGTTCGAAACTTGTGTGAATGCAAGCACCACATCTTCTTACAACCTGTCCGCCAGGTTATATAAATTGGAATACTGCACTAGAGGTACCGAATATACACCTCTGAGTGGGAATGAACAAGCGTTCGCTGCTGTGTTCGCGGCTCTCTTAGCCTTTACGATCATCAGTACTGTTCTTGACCTGACACTCTCATCTCATGTCAAGAAAGGTAAGCCTATAACAAAGCACAATTATTAAAAAAAGTTCAGAGCAATTCATTTACTTTATAGGATCAACTTGTAGCGCTAAATAATCAATTAAAATTTTTATGAGTCAATAGTCACGTTCCTATATATTGTTTATAAATTTGAGAACCAACGAAGAAGAAAAATAAATATTAAATGAATATATCTTTAGTTGAATATCAATAGTATATCATCATAAATTGTTACGCGAGCGGCAGACGGCACATCGATTGCGTAAACCATTCTTTTCCCACTGACCGTGACGAGAGAAAAGTCAGAGCAAAACGTGTACTACACGAGAAAATATATAATATAGGAAGTAAGATTACTACTATGGATATATTACCATTGCAATACTTGTTAATTGCGTTGGTAAATATTATCAAATTCGAACGAAGAGTAACAGTACCCTAATGTAAAAAGTTTACTTTTTTTTAATTTCCGAAACTTTGATAAGAATGATCATATCAAACACATTTTCTACAAGATCTAGTTATAACTTTTTGTTGTGTTTCTTTTTTCATTTATCCCTAAAAATAGTTTAAATTAGTACTTATGACGTAGGATTTTTGAAGTTATCAAAGTACACGCCACAAGAAAATTATTAAGAAAATTACTAATGGTCAATATGCCATTTATAGTAAAAAAAAAAATTAAATTTATTCAAAAAAGAGTTGTAAATTATTAGGATTTTTTCAAATTGCGGAAACCCTCTGAAGATTGTCCGATATCTAAAAAAATTATCAAATATACACATTTCTATTTCAAGCCGTCTAGCTCTTTAATAAATAGAAAAAAATACAAAATCTGAAAATTTTAAACATCAAATAGTAGTTAGCCAGTATAAAACACTTAATAGTCATTTACTTTTATACTAGTCTTATACATAATTAACAGTGTAATAATATTTACATGGTAAAATGTTAACTATGATGACAGGTTGTGGTTGGGCTTTGTCGTGGTCATTACGTCAATCGTGGCGATCCCTAGTAACACCTGCACCAGTGACCCGGGACCTGGACCTTCGATCCTTTGACGGTCTACGGGTCTTCTGTATGCTATGCGTCATCATCGAACACGTTTGTTGGCTCGGAACTATATCTTATGTTGAAGATACGAGGATATTTGAACAGGTTAGTATACTAGAACATCTCTGTGTAACTTGTTGATGCTGTTTTATAATGTTTTAATTTGTATATATGTTAAAATGAATATAGTTGCGTCATGAGGGTGATGTGATCCTGATGACAAACAGTACGCTGGTAGTCCAGATATTTTTCTTGATGGCAAGCTTCCTTCTCGCCCACAAAATATTGGAACAAAAGAACCATCTACCACCGTTCAGCACATTTTTCGACACTATGATTAACAGGATCATTAGGTTTGTACCAATCGCCGTTTTATTTACGAATATCTTAAGTAATTCAAAAAAGTCTGGCATTGTGTTAATTCAATATTTATCAATTAATTATCAGTAAAAAAATCACAAGAACATTTGCATTATATTTATAATATTAATAGAAGAAAATGTATAGGCATGATTTTCAATTAAACTACAATATTTCTTTGTGATATTTACTAAATGAATACATAAACTGTGGTTAATTATAAATTATAGTAAACATTCCAAATCTATAAATTCATAAAATTAATTCATTAATAAGTGTTCTTTTGGGGGTTATGATCCAGGGTGAGTCCCAGTTATTTCATGGTTTTATGGTTTGCGTCGTCGTGGTGGTGGCGGCTTGGACGTGGCCCGATGTGGACGCCTCTTGTCACCGCTGAAGCTCAAATCTGTCGCAAAAAATGGTGGACTCACCTTCTATACCTCAACAATGTTGTCATGAAGGACGACAAGTGTCTTATACAGACCTGGTTAGTAGGATGAATAAATTCATTCATTTACTCAAGACCCACTTTGTGAGAACAATATTTTGATACATATTTTAGTCTTCTATGTAATATAATTAAAGTACAAAATATTCAATAAAATCAGAATGGATACTAGGTATCTGGCAGCCGACATGCAGTTGTATGCTCTGTCACTGGCATTGACACTTCTATTACGAGGTCGACGTTGTGCTGTTCGATTGCTGATTGTACTCTTCGGTGTCGTCTCTGCAACGTTGGCGATACTAGCTTATATGTGGAAACTCGTGCCCACCTTCGTCCTACACAATCCAGAGTAAGCACATAAATAAAAAACAAATTACTAGTTAATGTACCAAACGCATGATGATAAGAGGTGATCTTGGATTACTTAATGCTGATTATTTATTATTACAAAACCGATTGTTGAAAATATAACACAAAGTACGTATATTCTCTGAAACAATATAATGAGTTCCCTTCTTTCTGTTATAAGGTCCGTTCGTCTGCAGTACAGCGGAGAGGCATCTTTTAACTGGTTATATCAGTCTCCTTTGGGTAATGCGCCAGGAGCGCTAGCCGGCCTGCTGTTGGCACATGCTCAACGCCGACTGCCACGCTCCGGCCTACTCGAACACCAGGTATCAACGAGTTGATCGACCTACTAACACGTGCTTGTCTTGCTGGGGTCACTGAACCTTCTATCTCCAGCCGAATTAGCCCTTTCCAATGAACTATTCAAAACAACAAGTACCGAATGGTAACCCACAATTATCATGTAATCATGAATAGGGTTCTTTGTAATATCGTTATTATATAAATTATTTTACTTTTTTTAAAAACTGAAATTGCGTGAAGTCTTTCATTGTACATATTATGTACATTATACTTGCCCTTTGTATTTATTCAATTACAGTTATTGAGTATAAGGGTGCATTTATGTCGATTATTATTTATACATTGAAACAAAACTTCTTTCATGAAATTTATTCCATTTAATATAGTTTGTACCGTTTAGGTCTGTAGGGATGTAGGTCCAGCTTGTACCAGTCTCTAGGTACTTTCACTCGAGCTGTATTGCGTCACGCGGATGGCTGCTTGTAACGACTATTAAAGTTGCTTATGTATTGGGCAACACATTTAAGAGCTAGATTTTCTTAATAGGTACATTACAAAATAACTTTTCGTTAATATTGTTGTCTTCTCAACCTAAAATACTTTTACTTTTCATAACATATTCGGTTTAAATTATTTAAGTAATGGAAATTTTCTTTAATGTAATCTGTGCGTAGTTGTCACAAGGAAGTGGCTCCATCGTAACCAATAGTTAGATTTTCCGTAAATTTTACCTTTCACGGTACATTACTCGCTTATTATATTACACGAGCTTAAGGCCGGGTGTTTATATTAAATAACTGTATAACTCCTTTAAGATGAGTTTGCATCGTCAAACTTAACATAGACAGTTTCAATTTTTTCATAAATCTAATAAAAAATAAACAGATGATGTTTATTGTAGTATAAATTTAGTTTTATGGTGGTAGTTATATGAAGGAAAGCTTTACCGCTATCTGATAAATAAATTAATTACTTATATGTGTTACTCATATCCTCGCTTATTACTGTAACCACTATATATCAATATCAATGAAAATTAGAAAAAAAATAGGCATGCTTAAGTTTTTAATTATCTTTTGGCTATGACAGTTTTTGTAAATTAGCCTACGAGTATATGATTTTGACGAAAAATACATAAGTTAATCCGAAAAGTGCAATTATTAGTGCAAAAGTCTTATTGTTTCCAAACCACAAAAAGTAATGGAAGATAAGTTTTTGTTGATGATAATATTTAATATTTTATTTTTCATGTAGTAAGTATGTAGTAGTTTGTAATATTTTATAAATAATATATACAAATTATTTGGTTGCATATTCTATTGTTTTGTTTAATAATGAAAAGATTATATTAGATTATTACTTGATTTGCGGGTAATACGACCAAGGAAATCTAACTGCGCTCAATTAGGGCTGATTGGTTAGCTATTGTGAAACGAAACGTTGAGATAACATTGATTTTATTATACCTATATATTTTTGAAATATGACATTTGGGATCCTATGTTTGTGACTTTGTGTATGTAGGTACGTATATTCATACATATTATTCACCATTTAGTCTTAAATATATCATCTGCCATCATCTACGAAAATAAATATTGAAAAGTTTAAAAAATTCGGGCTGTCTTTTAATTTTTTTCTTTACGGTACATGTCTATGAAAAACATTTATCTAACTGGGATGCCATTTTTGCTCTGTTTGCTCTGCTAAAGAAAAGTGTGTTTCCATCAGTTATTTCGATGGCTGTCGGTGGCGGGGGCACCGGCTGCTCTGTGCTGGGCGGCGTTATCTCCGATATCTTTAGGAGCTGGTCCACCTAACAGACTCGTAGCGGCGTTGCTGGCAGCCTGGGAGCGACCCATTTTTCTGCTCTGCGTCACTGTGGCACTCCTCGGAGCTATACACGGAATCAAGTGTAAGCATAGTTTTACCAAACCTGCCACCATAATGTAATATTTGTAATGATAAAAAAATTCATACATTAAGTTATTAATAATAGTAGGAAATAATTTCGCATCCAAAACACTCCTAAATTTTCTCAGTTTCAAATGTAGTAGTACGTAGCAATGGTCATACATATTGTCGCAGCGCTATTGTTCATCTTACAAAATTACCAACAGTGTCACTCTTTGCTTCTCCTTATTCTAGCTCCATGGCGAACGTGGCTGTCTCATTCCTCGGCGGCGTTAGCTCGTCTGTCTTTCGGGGCGCTGCTACTACACATGCCGCTGAACAAAGCTCTGTTGGGGTCAAGACTCACTCCCACACAGCTCGACAGACACTACGCGGTACAGTCTATTTAATAAGGACCTATTCTCAACAAGAATCTGCATAATAGAAACTAATGATAGCAATTCTTTGGTTGTTACATATATCTAACAATCAAGAAATAATTTAGTACATTTGAAGTGAATAATAGTTTTCATTTTAATAACTTGTAGAAGGAAATACAAAAAAAACACATGTTCATATTCCAACCTTCGCTGCAGTCTTAGGTCGAAAAATATTAATTCCATTTCATTCTATATTTGTGTATGGAATTAAGCACATAAACTTGTGTGATGTTTATAATAATTTATCTAATTAGATATATGGGTGGTTTGGTGTCGCGGTGGTGTCGTATGCAGCTGCTTTACCACTAGCTCTGCTCGTAGAGCTGCCAGTGCAACGACTCTACAAAGAATTGACCCTCATGATCCGGAAGAAACCACCGAGTTCACACAACAATAACAAAATATCATCCTTGGATAAGACAGAATTTTGTTCGACTGAACATTGTAATAAATAAACTTATTAAGTAGTAGTGTCATGATCTATAATATTATTTAAGCGAAAATGAAAGCTAACATGTTATTGAGGAAATAATATCGCTAAGCTTGACATATTGCAAGAGATTTACTATCATAAAACTGTAATATTAAATAGATTTGAGAATATTTTTCAAATGTATTTAATATTAAGATTAAACTAGAATATTTGCATTTGCAAAAATGTGTGGTGCAGACAAGGTTGGTGGAAATAAAAAATAAATACTTATATTATTTTTTATTGAAAACTCACTCACACCTCATACATTATCTTAGAAACTGACCTGTATACTTTATAAATTCCTATAATAAGGAAACAGTCATTTATGTATAATTAAAATTTGAAAGTTTGTTATTTAACTTATGTAAAGAAGTACTTAGAAGGCAACTTTCCTTTTTATCATTGTTACAAACTTACAACAACAAAACATTTTCACTATTTATTATACATAGCTAATAAATATTCCATGCTCTTTTATAAATGTAGCTTCTAAAACTGCAGTAGGGGCAGTGTGATTACAAATTCTACCGTCTTGATGGGCCGGAGCCACCCTGCCAGCCTCCACGATGTCCTCCGCCTCTACCGCTAGCACGACCTCTACCCGCTGCTAGAATAAAAATATGCTATTATAGAAACTACATAAACTAAAATCTTGATGTAAGACACATAACCAACTTAAAGGCAGCTTTATTGTTTTTTTTTTACCATATTAGAGCAAGCAACATATCAATATAAGTAATCAATAAGTTTGAAGGATATTACATGGCAGAAGAAAAAGACCATAAGAGCTGTTGAGATAAGTTTACAGAATTTATATAACAATGCTTTTAAATAATCAGTTACATAATAAAGGAATTTTGTACTTTAGATACGTTTCAAGATGAAAAGAGCTCATGTTTAGTGGATAAACAATAAATTTGTGGTGGAAAGGGTTATCGACTAACATGCAAACAAATCGAAAACATTCAAAATAACGGGCGGTAAAGTTATTGCTAAACAACTCAACAAGGAAAGATCTATAAACAAAACTATTTCTGAGATACCTTGAGCTCGTAGTATAGCACTTTTACCGCGACCAGCGGTTGGTTTGTTTCCTTGTCGTTTAAACATCGGCGCGTTTTTTAACATATCCGGTAGTATAAGAAAACGTATCTTAGAACCTCTTATATAAACATTTTCTAGCTGTGCCACTCGCCCGTCTCTGTAGGTAACAGTTACCAAAGTCATTTGACAATTCATATTATCCTCAGCTTCTATTAGCTTCCCTCTGTAAACTTCACCGGTATTTGTTTCACAAGTCACTACATGGCCTTCAGCTTCGTGAAGTACTTTAATAGGAACACCAATAGACATATTTAATGGTGAAATATCACAGTAACAAATAAAATATTAATTAATATCCGCAAATTTTCAGATGGAAAAGGATAAAATTTTTAGTTCTGAACCGACGCCAATGTTTAGCACAAACTACAAACAAATAATGGCGGGCAGATGTCAGTCTGCAACATGTCAAAGACACGACAATTTTCATAATATGTCAAACGAAGCGATCTTAAACTAAGTTTGTTTTGCTATATTATTTCTGTAATCTCTGGTTATAAAATAACATAGGCTATTTGTATTCTCGGCACAGCAGTACTCATAAAGAGTAACAATTTTTTTTACAATGCCTAATAGTTTTTAAAAACAAAAAATATAAGAAGTATAGTAATAATAACCTATTGTAGTGAGCACAGAATAACATTTACACTAGATTGATTTTAATAAAAGCAAAATGTGTACTCATATACCTAATAACTAATATGTATTCATATATTAACTTGAAACTTGTTTATCACTTAATAGTTAATTCCTATCCAGTTGTCTATAGTACAATAATTATTTACATAAGTATGGTAAATTCGTTAAATAACTTACATTTACACAAATTTTAATTATGACTCTCCTACATTTAACAATGTACAGTGTACATTGTACAATAATAATATACATAGTTTCTAAATCGTAAAATGATCGTTATGACCTATTAAAGCTTCATTATTTTCTTTCTCTTGTAACTTGTAATAACTTTTTGTTTCGAGAGATATATTTGTCTGTCTTAAAAAAGATATATTTGTCTGTCTTAAAAAAATCCTGTAAATAAAACATTGGGTTTAATAATTTTAAAACTATCATTTGGGTTTTGTTGTGGAGATAACAGTTCAATCCAAAACTGAGTGCTTCGCAACACAACTTACTGTTAACATCGTTCAAATAAAAAAGAATAAGATTTTTTTTTAAAGATACCTATATGTAAAATACATAAGTGTGGGCCCTAAGGAAACTTAAGTTTACTTTTGTAATAGTCATAATATCTATGGATAATTCAGTATAATCTTTAGTTGGTTTCTTGTGTAATGTTTTTCCTGGAAAAAATATTTGCAGTTATTATTTACAAATGGAATATAAAAATTAATATCATTAAAAGTTTAACTGACGACACTGATGCGTGTTTGTATACAGTTTTTTATATAGTCTGTGAGTGCTTAATCGCCATAGCTAGATATATGAGCTGTAATATGTCATTTTGAATTGTAAAGGCGTCAGTGGATAGGTGTCGTGAGAGCGTTATAAGAATTATGCTACAAAAGTTAATTTTAAGCTTAGTTTAATAACATTGTTTGATAAAAAATGAATACAACGGTATTGAAAGTCGAAGCAGAAGCGGAAGCATGTTCGGTGTGCGGTGGAGGCGGAGATTTATTCACGCCCGAAGAACACGATGCCGGCGCTCCGCCAATGCAAGTGTCTTTACGGACTATGCTATTGCAAATTAATAATTATAAGGTATGATTTAAAGTTTCCTATATTAAAAAAAAATCAAAAACTTTAAATTTAAATGGATTATCCGCTCTGTAGGTTGTTCCCGAAGGGAGGTTTTGCATTAGTTGCATACGTCGCGCCATTGAAGCGTATGAGTTTAGTTCTGCCTTAGGATCCAGAACAGCTCCTCCATTAAGTGAGAAAATCCGTACTTTGAGGAGAAGACTACATGATTTGACGCAGAAGGTAGATGTTTTCATTGTGGTCGGTGGACCAGGCGTGAACTCGGGGGGTGCATATAGTGAGGACGATATTATAATGGTAGAACGAGACGCCTTGGCTGCAGCTGCTGCTGCTGATGATGAGGATCTTGAAAAAGCTAGAAATGCCTGTGGGGACTCAGTATATCAATGCTCAATATGTCCCATGTCTTTCCAGGTAATTTATGTTCTTTAAATAGCATTAGCTTAACCTTTTAAAGCAATAACCATACTATAATGACTTGAAGTAAAAATGAATTTGTAATGTAATGTGTAACTGGATTGATAATAAAGGTTACTGCTATAATATTGTACAGCTAAAATTATATTTCTTGGTGTTGTTTATAAGCTTATTTGTACTTAGTTAGATTTCTGAACTCCTAAGTGACATTCCTCCCCTATTAAGACATAAAATGATACTTAAAATTTTCCCTTCTTCATGTCTTTCTCTATAATTGGATGCTTTTAAACCAAAAAGAACTATTAAATTAACATTTACTTGGAAGAAATATGAAGTAATGAGGTTTGTATAGAAAGAAAAAACTATAAAAAGAATGAGATCATTTTTTAAAGTTCATTGAAGATAACATTTCATTTTATGCTTGATTAGCATGCAGCAGAGTATCGATCACATGTAGCAAGTCACCCAGGCGGTGGTCGTCACTCGTGCTGGACTTGTGGTGCACAGTTTGCACGACGAGATGCTCTCCGAGACCATTCAGCTGAACACTCAACTCCCGGACTCACTTGCCAACTCTGTCGGAGCAGATTCCAAGTATATCCCCATATAATGATACATATTTAACATCTGTTAAGGGTTATACTTACCACTTGTTAATGCATATATGTAATAAAAAATATAATTTACAACTAAACTATAGCTATGGTCAGATTATTATCAGATTTGGTATTTTATATGTCTGGTTATTTTGTATGATACAATTACAATACAAAAATAGTTTATATAAAATACAATAAAAACAAAAGTGATGATTAAGATTATGTTTTGTGTAAGTTATGCTCGCTTGGTATTGTTAAAATAATAATATGATGTCAAGTGTAATTTAGGTAGATTACTTTGTTATATTAGTTGGAACATTTGATCTATCATATTGCGACTTTGAATGACTATTATTTATCTTTAACTTTTCCTCCACTATAAGTTTCTTGGCTCTGAGCTGGAATCTCTAATAGTTAGCATATAATAGTGTGTAGTATTTATGTTTGAATTTAATGTAATGATTTCTGTATTAGAGTGCCTCCGAGCTGCGTCGTCACGAGTCAGATGAGTCTTGTCCGTCTCGTTGTCCGATCCCAGGGTGTGGTGTGAGGTGTATGTCGCGCAGCTCGTTGTCATCACACGCCTCGGCTTCCCACGCTAGGGAGCCGCCACTGCTCTGCCCGCAATGTTTCGTGCAATGCTCAACTCGGGCTCAGATGGCATCCCACACGCTGTCTCACCGCTGTGCCGAGCGATTCGTCTGCGGCTATGATGCTTGTATATTGCGCTTCGCTAATAGGTAGGTAGTTCAAGTAATTCAGGCTATTCATTGGTTTAGAAACATTTAGTGTTTACTGCCTTTCATAAACTAAATAGTCCTGGTATGGAAGATAAATCCATTGGATCAAAAATATAAAACTTACTCATATCAGATATAAGTTATTGTCCATTGGCTTATGTAGTTTCTCAACTTATTTTTAAATGATGTTCAATTGCTTTTTGTAATATTCCCAGAGGAGACTTGTTGTCTCACATCCGCAAGCAGCATGCAGGTTCCATTCCTGACCCAACCTCTGAGCAACCACCATCCACCACTTGTCACTGTGGACGCATGTAAGTATTTGCACAGTCTTATTTATTAATATAGGAATATTTTCCTTGCATATAAATATTATATGTCACGCTTTCATATTGTTATTATAGTTGTAACTCAAACCTTTATTTTATTGTGTGTAAAAATACATTTATAAATTGCCATTAACCATGTTTAATGTCTTTACATACTGCTTTAATTTAATTAATTGTATTCTTACATCATATGTTTATATATTTATATTTAGAGACAACCCTAAGTGTTCTTGTGTAATAGTTAACGTTTTCCTTGTTCCTTACCTAACAATCCACTTTCTTGTAAAAATGTTGTATTGTTAAAGGCTACTTTTTTATGGATTTCCTTATCTACCTATGACGTGACAACACTTCTACTGCTACTATTATATGGAGATTTATTTTTCTCAATTTTGTTATTAATTTAAAGTCTTTGTTCATGTAAAATATATATCATAATATTTACATTTTATTAATACTTAGGATGAATTACTGTACTATTGTTTATAATATTTTTTGTATGGTGTAAATGCCTATTTCTCAAATTAATGGTTTGTTATAAGTGTTCTCAATTAGATAAATTCATATATTATGATATCCATTCATTAACTATTTATATTTGTTGTGCATAAATTCAAGAATTTGAGAATCTTGATAAGTAAAAATCTATCTTTGCTATTTCAGTTTCGGGTCAGTGGCGGCTCTAAAGCGTCACGCTCGTGTTCATCGCCGGGACACGCAGCAGGAGGAGCCAGAATGGACCATCACTATGGAGACTGGGGAGGGAGTAGAGGAGGGGGAGCTCGATGGAGACGTGGAGTACCTCGAGCTGGAGACCCTCGACGAATACGAAGAAAACTAGCAACCTCTATACAAGATTGATTACAGACTTCATATATAGACCAAATGACTGCAGAAAATTATATAAACATATGAAGATCTATTTTTGATTAAATAAAATTGTTAAACTACATGATACTTTTAATTGATAGAAAGAAAACAACATGTTTTGGTCAACATTTATAAAAATTTATTATCTGTACAAACAATATGAGTATATTTATGAACTATCTTAATTTATAAATCACTACTTAAATTTTGTCTATAATACTGACACTAAAATTAGTAGAGGAAATAAAAAACTTATATTTTGACGAATATATAAATAGAATGATGGTTTTAGTTTAAAATTTAAGTTCTTTGAATTACAGTAAATTAAAGTAAATGAAATGAGGGGGAAAATACATTCATAACTCGATAATAATTGGGACTTCTACTACCCAGATCTAGAGTTGTCGGGTTGTTCTCTGCAGATCACGGCGACTCTTCGTCCGCGGATGACGCGTTTACCACGAAACATACTGGGCTCACCACCCAAAACCGCATGAGTGAATTCGTAGCGAGCCACACCGCTAATAATTAAACACAGATATGAAACTAATATTTTTCGGATGTACTACGCGACCAAATTTTTGATAAAAAACTATACTCATCTCGTCTAACCGTGATCACGGGCAGACGAGATGAAATCATGAAAGATCATCGGGAGTATGCAGTTTTCATCAAAAATAAAGGCGCTTAGTACATCTGAAAAATATTTGTGTCATGTAAATGAATAAGACTCGCGAAAATTAGACCTAATTACATAGATATGTCACACTAGTCCTTAATTTAAATTTATTTTGTATACATAACCTAGTTTATTGGCTGTATTCTTTACCTCATAACGTAGAGAGCTCGCCGTTCCAGCAGCGCGTCGAACTGAATATGTGGTTTCTTTTCGTGTGTAAGACGCATCACGGCGCTCGACAGCAAACATAACCCCGCAATAGTGTTACCGCAAAACTATAATGGAATATTGTACTTGAAATAAAACTGTTATTTAACTTTGCAGCAACCATCTGCCCGTCATCACGTTTGCTACAAGTAACTGAGAAATATTAATTCTATTTTACTAAATACTCACGAAAGTCTTGCAAGTTGCATCTCAATATTAAATTTGTTATGAATGAACATGGTCATACTAAATATCAAAAATTACAAGGTTTTCCTGTTTTAACATAAAAGGAAACTAATTGATTAATTGACAATGTAAATACAGTCATTCAGTACACACTCTAACAGCGTCAATGTGGGGTTTAATATGTCCGGCAGCGGCCAAATCGAGGACATGCGCTTGCGGCAGCAGTGATGCTCCAGCGGGAAACAAACTTCGCACTCGAGACAACACCTCTGAACACAGGGGGCTCCAAGAATCTCGCTCCGTTTCACGGTAGCCTTCTATCGCCTACGAATAAACAATTACAGAATCTATCAAAAATTATAGCCTCCCTATCCAAAATTCTGATTTATGGTCATAAATTGATGTCAATTATAATGTTATAATATAAATGTTATCACTGAATCCTAACTTTTTATTCAGAGTTCATAACTACAAGTCAAAGTTGTGTACTTACATACTCGTAATCTCTAAACAAAAACAGAACTTGAATGTAGTGGATGGACCGCATGTTACAAATATGGGTTCTTCTATTCTAGATCATTAAACATTTAAGTGTATTAGCTGTTACAGATGCTGTTGTTGCATGTATGAGAACACCCAAAAAAGTTCCAAATTTCCTTTCCATTCACATGTAATTGTTAGGCGTGTGGTAATGGGATACTTAGCTGCGCTTACTAGGACAATATGTGCTACTAAATGGACCTTGTGTTTGTCTATCAGTGTGTATACAATAAAACCTGGACATACATTATCCCAGTGGTCATATTCATAGCGCATTCTTTTGAGCTTCGGTTCAACGTCAGCCAGGAGTGCTGCTTCTTCTGCTTCATTTACGAAGCCCGGTATTACCCGCATGTGCCTCAACACTTCCGCACGGAGATCCACTTCTTCATCTGGACTCCACGATGGGAGGAACTCAATATAGTTAGGGTCACCTGAGGCCGTATACATTTACTATATTAACAATTAAATTTTGATAAGATAATAAAAAAAGTATTTTAAAATCCATTGATTTATTTTGTTAGAGTATTTACTCACACAGTTACAAATGTTTATATCAGTTTTTTTCTAGTAGTCTTGACCAGGAAGTTACATTAATTTTAAAACAATAAATATCTCAACATAATTGAAATTCAAATAATTTAATTGGCCTTAAAGAAGCACCAATTGTCTTGTTATATAACATTTAGATCAAGACTTATTTTATCTTTGTTTCATGTAAATTAAATAATGTAAATTTTTTATTATAGGTGCTTTTAAGTATGTTAAAATCCTGTTAAAAGTATCTTTAAACCAATGAATGAATAAGACAAGTAACATGAGAGTTACTTATGGTTGCTGTTTGAGCCACATTGTTAGTTTTCAGGTTGTACTATCAGTCTTTGCTTTGTGTCACAAACCATCTATAATTTTCACCTTTGGATTCTTTGCAGTGTTACAGTAATTCTAACGATACAAGAAGATGCATATTGTTTTCAAGGGGTAATTTTACTCATACATAATAGTGACAGACTTTTAAAACTTGGAGAAGTTATATAAACCTTATAATATATACAAATTATGCTTTTATAAGGTTTATCTTTGAAAGTAACAAAGTTTTCTAAAATACTTGAAATAGGTAGTACATATGAAAATAACCAGATGAGATTGGTATTGTGATAATTCACTTCCATATAACATAATGTTTTCAACGTTTATCCCAGTTACTTTAAATATAAAAGTATCTATCTTTTTTGGATTAATCACAAACCTTCAATTTTTTCGGACAAAAGCTTCTCCGAACTGCATTCAGTGGTAATTTTTTTAGGAAGCTGTTGGAATAGCGACCTAATTGTGCTATTTCGAAGTACATTTAAGGTTAACATTCTTATGTATTTTATTATTTATGGCATTCAGTTTCCTTCAAATATAGGAAATATAACCTACGATGGTTGTTTAATTTTTTGACAGCTTTGTGTCAATCAGCTGATGTTACGTAAGCAGCTAAATTATATATATGGCCACACATACATCTTATATTCAAATAAATGTATTTTTTTTATTAATGTTGTCAATATATAAATAAAAATTAATGTTACTTTAATAATATCCTAAACTACAAAAACAATACATTTTGTTTACTGTTACAATCAATAACTGTTTGACAGTTGTTCATTTCGACCTTGGTTCATTTGCTTTAAATGTTGTGAAGATATTTATGGACGTAAAATTCTAAAAATTCGAAAAAAATATTTTCGTTTTATGTTGTTCTTTTCTATTATCACTCATATATTTATTATTAATAATCAACTAATACAAAAAAATATATTTCAAATTGAAAATATTTAATACTTAGACAACAAAGAGTAGTATCCCATTTTTTAAAGTAGGCTTTAGTAACATTAGTGCTTTTTATACTAACTACTACTACTACTAACTGTTATATGGTCAAACTGTTTGTATGTCATCCTGAAAAATTATTGTATAAAGCGTTATTGATATTCACAAACTGATCTTAGAATTATAAGAGATTAATTTTATACTTCAAAAGATTTTTGATAATATTTTATTTCATAAGCCTCGGTGCTATAAAGAACATATAAATAAAAGTATGTTATACTCGCCTTCTGAAATAGCACATTGAAATTATTCTGGTATTTTACTTGTATACAATGTTTCGTCCTATTAAAGTTTCGTCTTATTAAAGTTAAAATACATTTTGTGACTTCTTCAGCATGTATTCGAACACTATATATTTCGGAAATGTGGCTAGGTGAAGCATTATTTATAGTATTTTGGTAAGATTTTACTAAGGAGCCCTAGTTTAGCTACAGTACGAGTATTTTTCACATTTAGTTAGATGACTTTTATAAAATTTTGATATACTCGTATGTTCTTATAATTATACTGTTTGTTCAAAAAGGTAAAAATGTGTGTTACTGAAATATGATCTTGGTGATTATAGATTATTTTGTAATAAGTTTAAAAAATGCTCAAAGAGAACCGGATTCATCTGATATTTTTAAAAAATAATTTTCAATATATAATATCTACCTTCTAACAAAAATAACTTTTTTGATGTTATACAAATTATTTACATGTAAATTTTTTAAGTGGTTTACTGTTTTAACTAGATAAACGTTATAGTCAAAATACTACTATTGAAATTGCGTAGGTCTGTGTGTATTGTTCTTTAACTATACACCTTGACGTCTTGACTAACGAATAACAATAGCGAATGTTGTTGAAAGAGATGTTCCTTAACTTTATCTGTTAATTAGAGTAGGTGATATATTGAAGAAATAAATAGGTAATAATAATCATCATCAGCCTATCAGAGCCCACTACCGAGCAAAGGCCCTTCCTCACTTGGAGTTAATCACCACGCTTGCTCAAGACGGGTTGGTAATTTCAAACTTATAATTGTGAAATTATAAGTCCAGGTTTCCCTACGATATTTTTCTCCACCGTCTGTCAGTGGTGTCTAAATACTCTCAGAAAGTACATATGACTTGGAAAAATCACATTGGTACTTGCCACTTGCCAGTATCAAACCCACGCCCTCATGCATGAGAGGCGGGCCTTTGACCACTAGGCCACCACTGACTTCTTATAAAAAAAAGTAAATATAAACGAAATAAAAGGATACTTCACATAAAAACGATCATTTATATTTTATCATTATGCATTTTAGTCTGTATCTATTTCCCAGCGATTTGTATGGCTTAAATATGGCTTACAAGATATTGTGCTCTCGGGTCGTTAGTTTCGTTGTTAATCAAATAAAATTTAAATATTTGAATTTTGTTAATAATCACAATTTCTAATAAAGTGAGGAAGGTAACTTCCAAAAGATATGCAGGTATGTTTTATTACGTATCTTCATCACTGCTTTAGATATTGATTCAAGATGTTTTATTTTACACTTTACTAATGAATGATACTTGAGTTTATCGGTCTGTTACATTTAGAAATCTCGCAACGAAGTTCTCAACAAAATGTGACAAGCAACCATTTTCGATACAACGATATTTGAATTTTATAAAATTTTTGTATTTATTTATCGATGCTTACATAATCAAAAGACAAGCTTCTCATTTCATCATTTACATTTACAAGATAGCAGGCTGTACAGTGCAAGCGACTGTTTATAAAAATGTCCAATAGTGTTTGGAAATGCATATAATATGAATCGAGAATGTATCTATACAATTTCACAATGGTCATACAACATAGCAGTTATTTTATACAGAGTTGACTTGAAATCCTATATTTTTAATTAAAATCCTTCTAACTCCTTATAAAATACATTTCTTTTGCCCTGTTTTCCACGGGAACAATGTGGAATTTTGTGATATTTTTTTTAATAATGACGTAGAAAGCTATAGCTATAGCGACGTAGGAGCTTACCTAAAAAAACAGTCCAGCAGTTTAATGTGTGAAAGAGTAATAGAAATCCGTCATTCTTCAACCATACTAAAGAGAATTTGTATTCATAATATTACTAGGTATTTTTTATAATTTTGTACATTCGTCATATTAACTTGAACTGACAGATTGGACAAAATAAAATGGAATAGGTATAGCAGAAGATTGAAGTACTTTTTTTGGTACAATATACATTTAAGGTAAAATAATATTCTAGCTTTTCGAGATTACTCCGAATATTTCAACCGGTTTTACAATTGATTCGCCCTGACGGCTGCGCACGCGTCTCAGTTATAATCGCCTTGATAAGGTCACGCAGAGATGCACTTAAAATATTAAACAGCCAGTCGCAAGGACGTGCTTAGTGGATATGTTGATAGTTACAAGTGTATGACTGTTTCAATACAGTATGATTACAAAATATTCCGCATCGAATGTTTTTCTATTGCATAATATTTTTTTTTTTGTTTGTGACATTTGTTGTTTTAAAGTTCTATAGTATGTTTGTATTTGCAATTCGTCTTGTTCTACAAATAGTAAATAAGAACGTTATGGATGTAGCAATAGAGACAGAGTAATGTTTACCATTTACAAGTCCGTTCAAGTCTTTGTGAACTCGAGTTTACTAAGACGTGTGAAGAATTTTTGTTATAAATGTATTGATGGATCGAAGAGGCAGACTCACTGAGTCTCGTTTAAGATCTATAGTTATTTATCCACTCCTATTCATTACTGCATTCGAAGCCCCAGAATTTGAGATTGGTTGTCACGTCGGCTCGTCATGTCATTGGGACGGATTGCGAGAGATGTTTCATGCGTTCATCCGATCAAAAGAGATGTGCTTTGTATTACATGTTATTTGTTTTGCAATAATGTTGTTGTGGACATTACTCTAAAGGTGGTGTAAGAGTCCATTTATACAATGCGAAATAGTTCTGAAAAGATCAAATTTTGAACCTGGAGTAAAAAATATATCAAATAAAATGACGAAAAGAACAAATATACATATTTACATAAGTATGAATATAATTAAATAAGTTTGCTTATGGATCTTCTAGTCAACGCAACCTACTCGTTTGTCAGTGAACAAAAATATATTATAATACAACTTTATTATTCAAAGTTAATTATATGTGGAACTTATACTAAGGCTGGTTACGGTTGTCAAATTAACAATAGAAGTCACTGGTGTGATTGGCGGCGCAAGAATTGTTCTAACTATAGTGAAAAGCATATCAAATATGATCTACTGGTAGATAGTATTAGTATTTTAATGAGTTTTATTACAGTACGTCATGGTGGTCGCTTACAATACACACAATTGCATGATTGTCAATGTGATTTTTTTGGGTGTTGATAACATTGTATGCGACAGAGGTCTGGGAACGGACGTGAGGTCATCGTGATGCGAATGTTACATATTATTATATAACGACGTAAAGAGATTATAATATTATATAACAATGATATATATTATGTTATAAATACAATATTCATTGATATATTATATGAAAGTTAATAATATATTAAAAAAATATGCAAAT